ATAAGTTGGAGGGGGGAAGGAGGTGGAGGAGGGGGAGGGGGAGGGGGAGGGGGAGGAGGAGGAGGAGGAGGAGGAGGAGGAGGAGGAGGAGGAGGAGGAGGAGGAGGAGGAGGACCCCCTCCCCCTCCAACTTATGGTGGTGGTGGTGGTGGTGGAAAACAGCCCCCTCAAGCATGCCTCTTCATTCTGCCCCCTCATCCCACGCCCGCGGTAACAGTTTCTGCACGCCGAGACAAATCCGGATAACGATATCGACAGGCCTAAAGACCGACCGCCTGGCACGCGCCCAGCGAGGAACATCATAAAACCAGAGCTCTCGAGCTGAAAGTGCGCTAGCGGAAAAATTCTCTTCCTGCTCGCCTCTTTCCGAGGATCGAAACAAGGATCGAAAAACCAGAGCGCTGCGCTGCTTCAAGAGGTTCCAGTGAGTGCTTTCTCCCATCCCTGTCCCCCCCCCCGCCTCCCTCGTCCCCCGCTCTGCTCCCTCCGCCCTCCACCCTCGCTCCTCCGCTATCATCCCTCCTTCCTCCTTCCTCCTTCCTCCTCCTCCTCCTCCTCCTCCTCCTCCTCCTCCTCCTCCTCCGCCTCCGCCTCCGCCTCCGCCTTCTCCCTCCCCCCTCCCTCCCTCACTCCCTCCGCCCTCCCTCCCTCCCTCCCTCCCTCCCTCCCTCCCTCCCTCCCTCCGCCCCCTCCTCGGCAAACCCTCGAGAGCAACCACAAGGCCACCGCAAACGAACGCCTCCCCATTCGTCTCCAGAAGCCTTCGGGAACACCCTCCGCCTTCCGCTCTACGCCCCCACCTCCCTCTTGGTCCCCACAGGTGTCGGTCCTCGTGTGGGTCTCCAGAGGTCAAGGGGGAAACTGGAGGAGCAGAAGGAGGAAAGCAGCGAGTGGGAGGAGGAGGAGGAGGAGGAGGAGGAGGAGGAGGAGGAGGAGGAGGAGGAGGGGGAGGAGGACGGGGAGGACGGGGAGGAGGAGGAGGAGGAGGAGGAGGAGGAGGAGGAGGAGGAGGACCGAGGGTCGAGGATGTGGTCGAGGAGGAGATCTCTGAAGACCTTTCCCCCCTCCCTCCCTCCCCCCATGGAGTACGGCGTACTACGCCATCTCAGGGGCTACAGTGAGCGGGGTGAATGACAAGGAAAAGGAGGGTGAAGCGGTAAGGAGGGAAGGGAAGGAGGAGGAGGAGGAGGAGGAGGAAGAGGAAGAGAGAGAGGAGATGCAGCACGAGGAGCCATTTACCCGTGAAAGGAAGGAGGAAGAAGAGAAGGAGGAGGAAGAGGAGAAGAAAGAGGAAAAGGACGATGAGACCCCGTGAGACAGCATGGTAGACTCCATCCCTCGCTCCCTCCTTCCAGTCGGGGCGGGGCAATCACGAAAGGGGGGAGTCAGCGAATCAGCTGCACGGAAATGTTTTCGTTCTGGCGGGGCCAAACCTGGCTGCAAGCAGCACTCCTCGTGGCATCCCCTTTTCCAAATTCGTCCGCCCCGATCTCCCCTCACCTTCCCCCGATCCCCCCGATCCCTCCTCACCCTTGCCCCCGATCACTCCCCTTCCTCAGCCTCCCCCTCCCCCTCCCCCCCACCTTCTTCCACGTAAGGAGCCCCCCCAAATCGCACCAGACCACCAGCCGTGTCCGTACGCCATGCGTTTCGCGTGAGACTCCCTTGCGGCTCCTGCCCTAGCGCCGCGAGCATCCAACGTAAAGCTTTCAACGCTAACAAAGATGGAGGGCTGGTCGTTTTCAAAAAGCGGCTCTCGTCTTTGCGCCGCGCACATTCGTCCTTAATCTTCTATCAGAAACGTCCACCGACTGCAAAGATGGCGGCCGGCTCGTTTACAAAATGCGGCTCCAACAAATTCACGGATGGAGGCCGAGCCGTTTTCATTTTTCAATATGCGGCTCTTGCTTCCTGAGATGTCCTCTCACTCTGTGGCATGAAGTCCCGAATTCCGCAACAATTGCAAAGATGGGATATGGATATGTTTGAACATAGGGCTTTCGCATGAGACATCCTCAAGCTTGACGGCCAAGCGTTTGAAATCTTGCAGCACTTACATGGGTGGATGGCTGATCCCTAAAACAACGGCACTACCATGGGACAACTCCTTGAAGCCTGTCATACTGCCTCTTAGGTCGCAGAATGGATGGAGGATCCTTTACAAAACGGGGTCTTGCCTGAGTGGCAGTCCCACCAGGCGCTCAAAGTGGAAAGGAACAGGTATCGGAGGTGAGGGGGTGAGATCGAAGTGGAACGCAAAGCCCCCCTACCTGGAAATCGATTTCGGTTTCGTGTTCGTGCGTGCCGTGCGGGCGAGGCGAAGCTGCGTGGGCGGGCGAGAGAAAGTCTCCTGTGGCTGAAGCGCGGCAGGACCAAATGACTCCCTTCCAGGCGGCCGGGGCCCCGCGGTGTCCCGCCGGTGTCCCGCTGGTGTCCCGTGTGGCTGAGGCGCGGCCGGACCAAATGATTCTCTTCCGGGCGGCCGTGGCCCCGCGGTGTCCCGCCGGTGTCCCGCGGTGTCCCGCGGTGTCCCGCGGTGTCCCGCGGTGTCCCGCGGTGTCCCGCGGTGTCCCGCGGTGTCCCGCCGGTGTCCCGCGGTGTCCCGCGAGGATGATGATGATGATGATGATGATGATGATGATGAGATGATGATGATGATGATGATGATGATGATGATGATGATGATGATGATGATGATGATGATGAGATGATGATGATGATGGTGTCCCGATGAAGATGATGATGATGATGTTGATGATGTTGTCGATGATGATAGTGTCCCGATGATGAGGATGATGATGCTCATGATAATTATGTTGATGATGATGACGATGATGATGATGATGATGATTCCGATGATGTTGGTGATGATGATGATGATGATGATGGAAATGGTGTCCGGGCGATAATGATGTTGATGATGATGATGCTGTTGATGATTATGGTGTCCCGATGATGATGCTGATGATAATGATGATGGTGATGATGATGATGGTGATGCTGATGGTGTCCCGATGATGATAATAATGATAATGACGATGGTGATGATGATGCTGCTCATGATGATGGTGCCCCAATGATGATGATGATGATGATGATGATGATGTTGTTGTCGATGATGATGATGATGATGTCGATGATGATGATGATGATGATGATGATGATGATGATGATGATGCGATGGTCATGATGATGATGGTGTCCCGAGGATGATGACGATGTTGATGATAATGTTGATGATGAGAACGATGGTGATCATGGTGGTGTCCCGATTATGATGATGATTATGATGATGCTGCTGATGATGATGACGATGACTGTGTCCCGATGATGATGATGATGTTGATGATGAGATGATGATGGTGATGATGGTGATGATGATGATGTTGTCCCGATGATGATGCTGACGTTGATGATGATGTTTATGATGATGATGACGATGATGATGATGACGGTGCCCTCATGATGATGACGATTTTGGTGATGTTGATGTTGATGATGCTGATGACGATGACGATGACGATGACGATGATGATGATGATGATGATGATGATGATGATGACGTTGATTGTGAGAGCGGTTGTGATATCGATAGTGAGATCGATATTGAGACCGAATGTGAGATCGATTGTGTGATCGATTGTGAGATCGATTGTGAGATCAATTGTGAGATCGATCGAATGAGATAGATCGAGTGAGATCTATGGTGAGATCGATCGAGTGAGATCGATCGAGCGAGACCGATAGTGAGATCGATACTGAGATCGATAGTGAGACCGATCGAGTGAGACGTTGGTTCCCCCCCCGAACCTCCTTATCACCCGAAGGGTGGTCGTATAGGTATAGAGACTTATGAGGAGGGGGCTTGGGATCAGAGGGTGTCTTGCAGCATCGCTGACGCATCCTGCATCTAAGATGGTCGTCCCCCTACTCCTCACACCCTTCGCTCTCCGCCTCCTCCTCCTCCTCCTCGTCCTCTTCCTACGCCTCCTCCTCCTCCTCCTCTTCCTCTCTGTCTTCTCCCCCAGGGACCTTCCACCCGCAAAGGAACCACGACTTCTTTTCGTCCTCCTCCACCCTCCTCCGGCCCTCCCTCCCCTCAGTGCTCCGTCCCTCCTCCCTTGAACGAAGGATTGCAGAAAAACCCATTGCAAAAAAACCCTCGTTCCCTGAAGGATTGCAAAAAAAACCGCCTTTTTGCAAAATCCCCCGCCCTCACTTGAACCCTCCTTGAACGAAGGGTTTTTTTTGCAATCCTTTTTGCAAGCCCTCATCCCTCATGGCACCCCCCGCCTTCTCAAAACGTCGGCTACTAAAAACTTGCGAGGGCGGGGCGAGCGCTGTGCGGCGCCCCGCCTCCCTCCGCGAACCCGAGGACCGGAGGGGTCGGGCCTCGAGGATCGGGGCTCCGCGGACTGGGGTTCCTTCGTCGAGGTTCGTGATGGGCCCACTTTCCACCACCACTACCAGATGTAAGAGAGGGAGGAGGAGGAGGAGGAGGAGGAGGAGGAGGAGGAGGAGGAGGGCCTCCTCAGCCTCCCTTCTCCCCCGTTCTAAAAATGGCAGTGGTGGTGGAAAATTTGCCCATCAGTTCGGGGGACCAAGCTTGGAGCCTGCCTGGGCCTGTAGAAGCCCCCAGGGCCTCCAGGGACCTCCAAGGATCTCCACGGGGAACGTCCAAGGGACCTCCAGAGGCGTCAGATCCAAGCGTCGCGAACAAAAACAACAATATTATTAAAAAAGGCGACGGGCGCGTCGTTGCCCCATTCTGGGCCCCAGGGGCCCTCGCGCATCGGTGCGGCTCGAGATACACGCAGAGAGAAGACAGTGTCGAAAGTTCTGGTCGTGACTTCCCGACGCTGCATTCGCCTTCGCGACGTAGGATCGTGGTCGAGGCACCTCAGGGGCGGACCCCTGGGGCATCTAGCACGCGGACCGTCCAATCCAAAGCCCTGACCCCCCGGTGTCTGTCCGTCGGCCGATCAGTACGGCCCTGCGGCCTGCTTCACGTTGCCGTCGGTGCCGACGCTGGGGCAGCTCCCGGGCGTGTACTTGCCCATGACTGCATCGAAATTCGCGTTGGCCCTCGCCTTCAGTGCCTTCTGCGCGGCCGCCTTGTTCTCCTCCTTGCCCAGCCAGGTCACGATGCACGTCTTCTGCAGAGCCTTGCCGTACGAGAATGAGAGGTGCCAGGGCATCTTGTCCTTGAAGAGCTTGTTCATCATGTTCAGGTTGATGGTTGCCACCTCCTCGTTGTCCTCGTCCAAGGCGGTCTCGCCAGACAGGAAGAAGATGCCCGGTAACGCTGGAGGCACTGTGCGGAGCAGCGCCTGAACTGTGAGCGTTGCGATTGTTTCAGTGTCAGCCTTCGGGCCGCCGATGCCGTTCTTCACCATGTTCGGCTTCAGGAGGCAGCCCTCCAGGTAGACGTGGTGATCCGCGAGAGCCTTGAACTGGGCGGCCAGCACCTTCTCGGTCACCTTCGCACAATCCGCCAACGTGCCCTTAGGCACGAAGTGGGCGTTCCCTCAGGTCCTATCCCTAATCCTCTAGGCCATAATCCTCACTCCTGAGGAGTCTCTTAGGGGTCTCGCCCCCAACTTGCCAAATCTTCTTAGGCTCGGCGCGTGCCCCGATGGGGTTCCTGGCATCTCCCCGAATAACTTGTTGGGGCCCAAGAGGGCCCCAAGACGGGCCAAAAGAGCCCCAGTAGACTCCCAAGACGGTCCAATGGGGCCCCGATACGCCCACAGATCACACCAAGACGCCCAAGATGGCCCCAAGACGGCCAAGAAGCCTCCAAGACGCCCCAAGAGTCCTTCTAGAGGCCTCCCAAGTGGGCCCCAAGAGGCGAAAATGATTGATTGTCATTTGATGTTTGAAGGTTTTTGGCGTTCTCGCCTTTTCGGCTTCCCGACGCTCCAAGACAGCCAAAGAGGCCCCCAAGATCGCCGCATGACGGCTCAAGAGGCCTCAAAGAGGACCCCGAAACGGCCCAAGAGAACCCCAAGACGGCCAAAAAGGCGCCCAAGACGGCTCAAAAGGCCCCAAAGACAGCTCCACGACGGGGCCAAGATGGGGGACCCGAACGGACATTTCGAGCCTTCGGCGCCGAGGGGCTCCCAGGAGGCTCCAACGGCCCCCAAGAGGCTCCGAAGAGACCCCAAGAAGCATTGTGGCACGGTGGCGGGTTGGGCCGAAGGCCATTCGATCCGCCGCCCCCTGTCGATTCATCGCAGGGGTGCCTGGCGTGCTGAATCCTCTCGGCTTGGGTTGTGGCTCTTTTTCCAAAAAAACTCCCCCTGGGGCTTCGGCCAGTCCCGCCGGCCACCCGGAAGGCCCGCAATTTTCAACTGTGTTCGCTCAAGATGGCCCAAGATGGTCTCCAAGATGGCCACGTTGGCCCAAGATGGCCTCCAAGATGGTCCAAGATGGCCTCCAAGTCCGCCCAAGATGGTCCAAGACGGCCTCCCAGACGGCCAAAGAGAGTCCAAGAAGGCCAAAGACGGCCCAAGAGGCCCCCCAGAGGCCTCCAAGACGGCCCAAGAGGCATCCAAGAGGTCCTCCAGGAGGGCCCGAAGAGGCCAAAATCTTAGATGTTCCTTAGGGTTTAATAAGCTTTCAACATTCGCTTCTTCTCGGCTTTTCGACGACCCAAGACGGCCCAAGAGGCCCCCAAGATCGCCCCCACAGCGCCCAACAGGCCTCCAAGATGGCCTCAGGACTGCCCAAGAGGCCCCCAAGACGGCCCCAAGAGGGCACAAAGACGACCCAACAGGCCTCCAAGACGCCCAAGATGGCCTCTAAGACGGCCCTGGAGCACCCCAAGAGGACCCCAAGTCGGCCCAGAAAGGCCCCCCAAACGGCTTCCGATGGCGTCAGACGGGCCAGGAGCCCACCAAGATGGCCGAAGTTGGCTCGAAGCTGGCCCACGACGGCCCAAGAGACCTCCCAGAGGGCGGTGTTCGCAGGATTTTGACATTTGCTTCGTTTCGGCCTTCCGACGGCCCGAGACGGCCCAAGAACCCCCAAAGATCGCCCAATGATCGCCCAAGAGGCCAAGATGGCCCCAGAACGGCCCCAGGAAGCCCCCAAGGCGGCCCCAAGAGGCCCCCAAGGCGGCCCAGGAAGCTCAAGACGCCCAAGATGGCCTCCAGCACGGCCCTGGAGCACCGTAAGAGGGCCTCAAGTTAGCCCAGAGGGGCCCCCCAAACGGCTTCCGACGGCGTCGGACGGGCCAGGGGCCCACCAAAACGGCCGAAGTTGGCCCTAAGATGGCCCAAGACGGCCCAAGAGGCCTCCCAGAGGGCATCCAGGAATGGCCGAAAAAGCCAAAACCATTGACCTCCCATGAGTTGTTGAAGGATTGTGGCATTTGCTTTTTGTTTCGGCTTTCCGACGGCCCGAGACGGCCCCAAAAGATCGCCCAAGAGACCCACGACGGCCCCGAGAGGCACTCAAGACGGCCCAAGAGGCCTCCAAGACGCTCAAGATGGCCTCCAAGACGGCGCAAAAGCCCTCCAAGACGTCCTCCAAAAAGGCCCGAAAGGGTCAAAATGGCCTCCACACGGTCAAGATGACCTTCAAGAGGCCCACGTGTTCCCCGAAGGCTTTCCAAACCGATTCGGGGAACGCATGGTCCGATAGCTTGGCAGGTCTGGCCTCAAAGTTCGGCCGCATAGGCGCTTCCAAAAAGGCAGGGGGCGGCGGTGATTCGCCGTAGGCGTCTTCAATCCGCCGCCCCCTGTCGATTCATCGCAGGGGTGCCTGGCGTGCTGAACTATTTCGGTGTTGGTTCTTTTTCCAAAAGAACTCCCCCTGGGGCGTCGGCCCGTCCCGCCGGGGTCCCAGAAAGGACCTCAATCCGGAAAAGAAGTCCCCCATGACGGCTCAATATGGCATCCAAGACGGCCACGTTGGCCCAAGATGACCTCCAAGATGGTCCAAGTTGGCATCCAAGTCCGCCCAAGATGGTCCAAGACGGCCTCCCAGACGGCCCAAGAGGCCCCCCAGAGGCCTCCAAGACAGCCCAAGAGGCATCCAAGAGGTCCTCCAGGAGGGCCCGAAGAGGCCAAAATCTTAGATGTTCCTTCGGTTTTTGAAGGATTTGGGCATTCGCTTCTTCTCGGCTTGCCGACGACCCAAGAGGCCCCCAAGATCGCCCCCACAGCGCCCAACAGGCCTCCAAGATGGCCTCAGGACTGCCCAAGAGGCCCCCTAGACGGCCCCGAGAGGGCACAAAGACGACCCAAGAGGCCTCCAAGACACCCAAGATGGCCTCTAAGACGGCCCTGGAGCACCCCAAGAGGGCCCCAAGTTGGCCTAGAAAGGCCCCCCGAACCACTTCCGACGGCGTCAGACGGGCCAGGAGCCCACCAAGATGGCTGAAGTTGGCTCGAAGCTGGCCCAAGGCGGCCCAAGAGGCCTCCCAGAGGGCCTCCAGGAAGGCCAGGAAAGGCCAAAAACAAGATCGCCCCCACAGCGCCCAAGAGGCGTCCAAGATGGCCTCAGGACTGCCCAAGAGGCCCCCAAGACGGCCCAAGAGGCCCCCAAGATCGCCCCAACAGCACCCAAGAAGCCTCCAAGATGGTCTCAGGACTGCCCAAGAGGCCCCCAAGACGGCCCCAAGAGGGCACAAAGACGACCCAAGAGGCCTCCAAGACGCCCAAGATGGCCTTTAAGACGGCCCTGGAGCACCCCAAGAGGGCCAAAAGTCGGCCAAGAAGGGCCCCCCAAACGGCTCCCGACGGCGTCAGACGGGCCAGGAGCCCACCAAGATGGCCGAAGTTGGCTCGAAGCTGGCCCAAGACGGCCCAAGAGGCCTCCAAGAGGGCCTTCAGGAAGGCCAGAAAAACGCCAAAAACAAGATCGCCCCCACAGCGCCCAAGAGGCGTCCTCCAAGATGGCCTCAGGACTGCCCAAGAGGCCCCCAAGACGGCCCCAAGGGGGCACAAAGACGACCCAAGAGGCCTGCAAGACGCCCAAGATGGCCTCTAAGACGGCCCTGGAGCACCCCAAGGGGGCCCAAAGTCGGCCCAGAAAGGCCACCCAAACGGCTCCCGACGGCGTCAGACGGGCCAGGAGCCCACCAAGATGGCCGAAGTTGGCTCGAAGCTGGCCCAAAGCGGCCCAAGAGGCCTCCAAGAGGGCCTTCAGGAAGGCCAGAAAAGACCAAAAACGAGATCGCCCCCACAGCGCCCAAGAGGCGTCCAAGCTGGCCTCAGGACTGCCCAAGAGGCCCCCAAGACGGCCCCGAGAGGGCACAAAGACGACCCAACAGGCCTCCAAGACGCCCAAGATGGCCTCTGAGACGGCCCTGGAGCACCCTAAGAGGGCCCCAAGTTGGCCCAGAAAGGCCCCCCGAACCACTTCCGACGGCGTCAGACAGGCCAGGAGCCCACCAAGATGGCCGAAGTTGGCTCGAAGCTGGCCCAAGACGGCCCAAGAGGCCTCCAAGAGGGCCTCCACGAGGGCCTCCGGGAAGGACAGAAAAGGCCACAAACACTAATTTGCCATTTGTGGTTGACTGATTTTGACATTTGCTTCGTTTCGGCCTTCCGACGGCCCGATACGGCCCAAGAGCCCCCAAAGATCGCCCAAAGATCGCCCAAGAGGCCTGAAAGATGGCCCCTGAACGGCCCAAGAGGCCCCCAAGACGGCCCCAAGAGGCCCCCAAGACGGCCCAGGAAGCTTTTGAGACGCCCGAGATGGCCTCCAAGACGGCCGTCTCGGGCGGCCCAAGAGGGCATCCAGGAAGGCCCGAAAAGGCCAAAATCATTGATTTCTCGTGGATGGTTGAGGGATTGTGACATTTGCTTCGTTTCGGCCTTCCGACGGCCCGATGCGGCCCAAGAGCCCCCAAAGATCGCCCAAAGATCGCCCACGAGGCCTGAAAGATTGCCCCAGAACGGCCCAAGAGCCCCCCAAGATGCCCCTGGAGCCTCCAAGACGGCCCAAGAGGCCCCCAAGAGGCTCCTGGAGTATTCCAAGAGGGCCACAAGTCAGCTCAGAGAGGCCCCCCAAACGGCTTCCGACGGCGTCGGACGGGCCAGGGGCCCACCAAGACGGCCGAATATGGCACTAAGATGGCCCAAGACGGCCCAAGAGGCCTCCCAGAGGGCATCCAGGAAGGCCCGAAAAGGCCAAAGTCATTGACCTCCCATGAATGGTTGAAGGATTGTGGCATTTGCTTTTTTCCCCCGAAAGATCGCCCAAGAGGCCCAAGACGGCCCCAAGAGGCCCCCAAGACGGCCCAAGAGGCCTCCAAGACGCTCAAGATGGCCTCCAAGACGGCGCAAAAGCCCTCCAAGACGTCCTCCAAGAAGGCCCGAAAGGGTCAAAATGGCCTCCAGGCAGCCAAGATGACCTTTAAGATGCTCACGTGTTCCCCGAAGGCTTTCCAAACCGACTCGGGGAACACATGGTCCGATAGCTTGGCAGGTCTGCCCTCAACGTTCGGCCACATAGGCGCTTCCAAAAAGGCAGGGGGCGGCGGTGATTCGCCGTAGGCGTCTTCGATAAGCGATATCGTGTTTGCCGTTGGGCACGATCTCCGGCTCAACGATTGGTACCAACTTCTCGCTCTGGCAGATAGACGCGTAGCGCGCCAGAGTGTGCACGGTGTCGGCAATGGCGAGGTCGCTGGGCAGACCTGTCTCGGGGTCTTGCTGGAGGACGTTGCGCCACTTGGCAAAACGAGCTCCCTTAGCATAGGCCTCCGCACACCTCTTCTGGAGGTCATCGAGGCCCACGGTGGAGACCTCGGGGTGGCCAAGCGGCCCGACGTCGGTGCCCCACATGCCCTTCTTGTTGTACGCCTTGTCCACCTTGATCCGCCACCGCGCCTTGCGCACGTTGAGGCGTGGAAGAATGCCACGGGCTGTCTGCTAGGGGGTCTTTGTATTCTACCAGGGACCCCCCCTCCACAAGCATCTGACTGCATGCATCGCCCCCCTCTCCCGAAGCTCCATGGACCACTTCGTCCGCGTCCCGAGCTTCCTAAGAGGGCCCAGGCGGGCAACCAAAGCCGCCAAAATTGCCCAAGATGCCTCGAATACGGAAAAAGATGGCCCCAAGGCCGCCCAAGATGGCCAAAAGACTGCGCAGGGTGCCTCCCAGAGGGCCCAAGAGGGCCACAAGAGGACCCCAAAACTGGGCCCGACGTCATTGATGTTCCATTGGCTTTTGCATGAGTGTTGCAGTCTCGCCTTCTCGGACTTCCGTCAGCTCAAGAAGTCGTAAGAAGCATGGAAGATAGCTTCAAGAGGCCCCCATAAGAGTCCCAAGACTGCCCAATAGGACCCTACGATGGTCCGAGACTTCAAGACGGCCTCAAGCTAGCTGTAGAGGGTCTCCGGAGGGAGCCAGTACAGCTCCAGAGGACCCTTCGGCCCAAAGCCTTCCTCCAGACGCCCAAGAGGGCCCCAGACGGCCCAAGAAATCTCCAAGACGGCCTACGAGGGCCCAAAAAGGGCCCAAGAGGGCCCCAAAGGGACCCCCAAGACTGCCTCTCAGGAGCCCAGTCCAGCCCCAACACAGCCAAACTGAGAACAATGAAAGCTCCTTGAGAAGCGAGAAAGAAAGATGTCACAAGTGGCGGCCCTACTCGTCCACATCAGATTCCTCCTGCTCCTCCTACTCCTCGAACTCCAGCTCCTGCTGCTCATCCTCCTCCTCCTCGTCCTCAGCAGCAGCAGCAGCACCACCACCATCATCATCATCATCATCATCATCATCATCATCATCATCATCATCATCATCATCATGATCATCATCATCATCATCATCAGCATCAGCATCAGCATCATCATCATCATCAGCATCAGCATCAGCATCAGCATCATCATCAGCAGCATCATCAGCAACATCATCATCAGCAGCATCATCATTAGCATCATCATCATCATCATCAGCATCATCAATCAGCATCGTCATCATCATCATCAGCAGCATCAGCATCCTCAGCGTCATCATCATTATCAGCACCAGCATCAGCATCAGCATCATCATCAGCATCATCATCAGTATCGCCATCATCATCATCATCATCATCATCATTATCAGCATCAGCATCGTCATCATCATTTTCATCATCATCATCATCGTCGGCATCAGCATCATCATCAGTATCATCAGCATGACCATCATCATCAACAACATCAGCATCAACATCATCATCATCATCAGCATCAGCATCATCATGATCATCATCAGCAGCAGCATCAGCATCATCATCAGCGCCGCCACCCCCACCACAACAATACTAATAATCATAAGAGCAGTTACAATAATAATAATCATCGTCATCATCATCATCATAATCAGCATCACAATAACCATCATCGTCGTCATCATCACCGTCGTCACTATCGTCGCCATTGTCGTCACAACCATCACAATCATCAGCATCATCAGCATCATCATCACCATCACGATCCATATCACCACCACCAGTATCACCATCGTCATCGTCGTCATAATAGCAATGAGAAAAAATACGAGTGATAATGATAATAATAATAATAGTCTACATTATCATCACCGTCATAAACATTATCATCACTAGAACTATCATTATCTGTATCATTATCAATATCATCATCGTCATCATCATCACTATCACTAGTACCATCCTATCACAATCACAAATCACCATACCCATTGCCATCACCATAACTATCACCATCACCACCACCACCACACCCACCATCATCATCATCATCATCATCATCATCATCATCATCATCATCATCATCATCATCATCATCATCGTCAACATCGTCATCGTCGTCATTGTGAGTATCATCGTCATCAATATCAGCATCATCACCACTACCATCGTCATCAACCTCATTAACATGATCATCACCACCAACCTCGTCCTCGTCGTCGTCCTCCTCCTCCTCATAATCATCACAACCGCCATCAGCATCATCATCACCATCACCATCATCAGCATGCTGTTCATCCCCGTCATCCGCCACCATACTCATGCTATCCTCATCGTTTTCATCAACTAATCATGGTCGTCATCATTATTGTCCTCATCGATTCGAGCATCTTCCTCCGCGACTGCTGGACTGTCACGGAGGAGGGATTTGCCGCAGGCAGCTGGATTCCTGGGATCATGCCGTTCTCAATGAT